CTGTCAATCAAAATATGATCAACAAATGGCAGCATACAATTTCACATGTTCCTAAAATTGCAGTAAATGCAAGGGCAGATTTTAGGGGTGTGCYGACAGTGTATTTCCTTGAAAAATACAGTCTTGATGGTTTTCTCTGAMAGGATGAAGTTTTAAGGTCCACCCTTTCTTGCATTTCTGAATCTACCCCTGGCATGTCAATGAATTGTCAAATGAATACAATATTTTAAAGTGTTTATAAACATTAATGCATATATGCCTAGCCATCGATATCATCAACTACAGTTTTTTTATCTTGAAGAAGAACAGGACCAGCATGTTYCAACTTTTCATAATTTTTTGAAGCTTCAATTATACTATAGAGGTTCCCTTGCTTCAACTTTATTTTTAGAGGAACAAATTTGAGGCAGTCTTCTGCTTCTWTTTTTCCTTCTTCACAACTTAACCCATAAATCTCTTTTGCTTTTTTCAGGTTTTGATTTGCTATGAGGAAAACTGTTCTAGACAGTACTAATAAAACATTGCTAATACAAGGATCGGCTGAATAAATTGATGTTAATTTAAAAGCATTTTGTGTTAAACAAGACATATCTAAATACCTCAAAATGCACTTACTTTGTTGTCCAATCCTTCCTCCAGTGGTAGGTGGTTGGGTGTCTGCTGCCTGTCCAGTCCCTCCTCCAGGGGTAGGTGGTTGGGTGCCTGCTGCCTGTCCAGTCCCTCCTCCAGGGGTAGGTGSTTGGGTGTCTGCTGCCTGTCCAGTCCCTCCTCCAGGGGTAGGTGSTTGGGTGTCTGCTGCCTGTCCAGTCCCTCCTCCAGGGGTAGGTGGTTGGGTGCCTGCTGCCTGTCCAGTCTCTCTTCCTGGGAATCCTCCATCTGTACCAGATGCAGATGTCATTTCTTTAATAAACAAAAACAATCCATAAGCTATGCATGTTAGAAACAAAAGAATAAGATATGATATTGATAAACTAAGTCACAAGTCTGTTGTAACAAGTAACTATTGTTTGCTAACCATGTAGTTGAACAAAGCCTGAATAGCACCATCCACTGGATAAATCATTATCTAGCAAATAAAACCTATTAGTATAAACATACTAATGGTCTATGGTGCATCCTGCATTCTGATTGGCTACCCTACTAATGGTCTAATTTGTGATAGCCTACTAGTAGCGAAAAGCGTCAGATTTTACAACCAAAAATAAAATTTTTTCACGCAAATTTCAACATTTTTTTTCATCCTTTATYGGACCGATTACTAGGTTTTTACTAAAACAATTAGACCRATCTCCTCCTCATGGTCTACGCGCGAGTCAATAGCCCATGAGGCCAAAGGCCTCATGGRCTATTGACTTGTAGACCATTCGGACTCGAGGACTAATTTTTAAATATACAAATTCTATACATTTAATAAGGATTTATCTGTGGGATTGATCCTGGCTTTGTACAACTGGCTCCTGAGGTATAACTTTCTCTTCTTCTTGTCTAATTTTTTGCTATTGAGACAAATGAATGGGAAATAAGACAAAATATATKGTATAAATTTACAAACTTTGACTGATTTCGCATTTGTCATTCCATCAAACTAAATAATACCAAATAYGAATAATACTATGATACTTCTTGACTGAGTGGGAGCTCACCCGAAGAGAAAATATTTGGCACTAAGGTCATGCCGTATGCCATATGCCTTCCAAATTGCCAACCAAGAGCCAAATATTTTCTCATCCTGCACAACCTAACTGAATCAATAAGCATTTTATCATATGACCCAATTTTTATTGTAAAAAAGTCTGAAAGATATACCGCTAAACTTGCTTAAAATAGAGYGCATAACCCAAGAGGGCGGCACAGGTTTTTCTGGCCTGCTTACGTCAACCCGTACGGCCCCTATCACATGACTTTTTCCAAAATGGTTTGATTAGAGGGTGCATGCAGGGCTGTAAGGGTCATAATTATGATAATAGTTAATAATAACCTCCTTATCACTTTTGAATTATAAGTAAACAATATATCATAGACAATAACTCGATAGTTATACCTACCAAAAATAGAAATAAAGATTTCGTTGTTTGTTTTTTTTTCAAAACTGCCGACTAGAGTTCCATCTTTAAGAACAGGACCAGCATTTACCAAGTTTTGATAAKCTTCTTCAGGGACTTTGAAGGTCTGGCCATTCACCGTAAGGGGAATAGATTTAAAGCTGAGAACGTTCTTATTCTTATTGTCTTGGACTAAACTTAACAATTCAATGTTTGTTGTATCTGTTGTATTTAATGTTTGAGCTACTAGAAGCTTTTTGCTGTGTGTTTCCAAAAATTTGCTTCCATTAAAGTTTTCAAAATTACATRGCACAAATATGTGTTCTTGTACTTTAACAAAGTCCTTTTGTGAGAAACTACGTTTGCGTTTCTTTTTTGGTTTGACTTTTGAAAACCGATAGCAAGTAACAGTAAAACTAGTAGCTTTGGTAATTGTTTCTTCAAAATTCATGTAAAAAAAGTATTTTGTATTGTCTTTGCTAAATAAGTTCCTGTCAGCTGATGGTTTTATATGATCTCGAATAAATTCACAAAGATYGTTATCATTCTTAACTATACAACCATAAAATTTTGACGTTGTATTTTCATATTCAAATTYAATAGTTGCTGTCCCTTCTGTGCCATCCTTGCGACATAGAGGTATAGCCATACCTGTATCATGGACAAATAAAGCTGATATAAAAAGCTATAAATAAAAGAATAAGTGAGGGGGGGGGACTCTGATATGAAAGGGGCAGGGATATGCTCATTGTAACCTTTTAGGAGTAAATTTTTGTTATCTTGTACCTCTTAGCTAGGGTGTTTAAATAGGGAAAAATCATTAAAATACTGTAAAATTATGTCATTTGGTACCATTTAGGGTTGAATATTGTATATTTGTCAAATGCCCCACGGTCAGGCTTTGATTGTATTTTTGTCAAATGCTCACCCCTATGGATAGTGCTCAAGTCAAATGCCCGAGGTATGCCCGAATGTAATTATATTCATAAAACCTATTGTATTCTATTGTTGTTCTAWCTATTGTATTAGGTGTGATGCATTTATTTATTTATCAGTTATTTATCAACTTTACAACTAGATTTGCAACCAGATGAGGGCATAATCAACAGGACAAGAGTACAGTCCCATGTGAAGATCAGCAAAACAAAAATATATAAGCTTGGATCCATAAAAATTACAATTACACATAAAAAGAACACATAAAAAGAAAAAAACGTGAAAAATAGAGCAATTAAGAACAACAATTAGGATACGAACGGCACTTAGTACAAAAAGATTCCATGTACGCAATCTATTGACATCGAAAGTAGAGTAAGTTTAGAAAAGTAATGAGAATACAGATTACTTTTGAAAGAAAAAAGATGTTACGACATTGTATTTTACGAAGGGTGGGGAGGTGGAGAACTGAAAACAATCAATAATAGATASTATATTAAAACTTATATAATTATACCAACTAATATGGTTATGCTAAAAACAGATATGCGTTCTAGATGATACAGAAATTAAAGAATCAGAGACTTATTGATGAAGATAAAACCCGCACCCGAGGACTTGATTCTGAGAATTTTGAATCAAATTCACTCTGACTTATATTGTGTGAAATTTGCTATAATCAGAAAGATTCCTTTGACTATCTTGGCAGAATTTACGTGAAATATAAATATAAGATCATTTTTACCCACCTTTTTGCACTTTTGGGCACTTTTAATGGGATATGTATGCGATTATATATCCGAAGATGAGGATTGAAGATGAGTTATCTACTTCCGCCTTCCTTGATCGATCAAAATCGTCCCAGGTCGTCCGGTCGTCCTGACGTAACACAAGCCACAGGCTTCCCATCGAAAAATCAACAACTTATCGCCTGAATACGAGATCAGACGCGAATCATATTCATCTGTTGTCTATGTGTAGGTGTACAATTACCATTATGAACAAAGAATTTCGAGTTGGAAGACGTCCCTGGGTGAGTAATTGCTGCGAGCCATTAGGCGAGCAGCGACACTAATCTTGACATTTGTCTGTGCGGGATCCCTGTGTATGTGGTGGATGCCAGAAAAAATCTCGATTCAGCTCGTGTTTTTCTTTCCGGATGATTCGTAAACAGTCCCTCGCGGCAGCATAGCCGAGGATTACCTTTGACAACTTGCAAAGCCAGGATTAAAGCACATAGCTCAGACGTTTTCACAGCAAAGACTTATTTTTTCGCAGTTAAATAATGATAAATATTGTTTGAAGCATTCATCAAGATCACGAACGATTTAGTGTCATTTCACGGGGAGCTAAATGTTATTTTATGAGTCACTTGTGCTCTGCAGAGTTGACCGATCGAACGCTGGACCGCTGCCAACGTAGATCAGTTCCTTACCTGTAGGTGCCGAAGGAGATCAACTTTACCTGGATATTCTTCGAAGTAGATCTATCCCTGACACAGAGGCATTGTCCTTGAACTATCTGCCTAATGTGGCATGCATTTTGGAGACATTAACTCTAACAAATCGCCTGTTACGGCACATACAAATTATTCGCTTATATATTTGGGCAGAATAATCACAAACAAATAGCGAGTCACTTATAAATACTAGAGAGCGTAAGATTCCCGTTTCTCCTTCAACGCAAACGGCAAACGTGACCGACTTTTCTTCGTTTCGCAAACTTTAATACTAACTAAAGAGAAATATTCTTTTGTTATTTATGATTTAATTATCCCTTTTCATAAGTCAACCATCGACCGACTGAAGCTTTCACATACCATGTCCATGTTTAAATATCATCTAAAACATGCTAAAACCTACTCGCAGCATTTTACTTGCAATATGCAACGGTTAGTTTTATTGTTGTTTTTCCTTATCAATAATGAGACATCATAACTGATGAAAATACCTGCCCGCTGAGCAGTGAATATCGTTTCAGCCAATCACTAGATACACTTAGCTGTTTGGCCGCCGGCCCTCGTGTAAACCCAAATTTCGCGCGGTCGGACAGCTGCCATTGGTTTTGAAAGGTGAAAACATTTGCTATCAAAAGCTTGGCAAAAATACTTATTTAACAGGTTTTATCATAGAATTACCTTTTGTACATTTTTTAAAGCATTGATTAGTAGTTGCGTCAGGGCCGGCGAGTTTGTCCATTCGTGCTTTGCGCGCCCGGTTCACCGCAGTGCTGGAGCTGATATTAATAGAATTCTTCCAAATGAATGACACCTATGTATGCCTTAATTATAATTTCTTCAAAGCTTTTCCCGGAATCAAAAATATCCAAGTTTATTATTGTACTGCAGATAACTGAATGTGAACAAACTCTAGCTCTTGCAAGCTGTCTGTCTGTCTGCCTAGCTGCCTTAAAAACTTTAAGCATATATTTTTAAAATTGAAAAATGGTAAGCTATTATTAGCTATTTTTCTAGAATTCTATGAAGAATGGCAAAGATATGTTATTTTTTTCACTAAAATATGGCTTCTTTTTGACAGCTTACCGTGTTTTCATTATTCGCGCGTTTTTAAACTTCCATGCAATATGACGAAGAAACTAGGTCAGTGTTCCCCACTTTTTATTTGCTCATTTTAATTCTAATATGGTTTACTTTCATTGTGCAAAATTTTTAAAAAATCTGACGAGGGGATCTTTTGCCCATGATGAACGTCTGAGTTAAAACGATGAAATTGAAAGGTTATACACAAAATTTGCAAATAAAAAATGTCCGCATTTCAATTCCAATGAGCTGGTAAACTGAAAACCACAGAATTGTTATTCCATTTTCAAGCTTGTCTACAAAATAAATAATTCTAGCAGAGATTCCTTTTCGTCTTTTTTCTTTAAGCTGTGTTTGTAAGTTACACTAGGCAACTTTCCTTGCATGACTTGCCTCACAATACTTTAGCGCAATACCGAAAAATACACCCAGGGTGTTGCAGTTGCATTGTTTCATGCAACTTGCAATTGTATCTTAATAATTTACACGCGATGAAATATAGTTAGCTGTCATACACGCTTTTCACTAAAGCTGCAGCACCAAAATTGCAAGATACTTTTGGAAAATTACCCTAGGCAAATTCTCGCCCAATATTTCTCTTTTAAAACTGACACAAGTCGCAAGCAAAATTGCTTAGCGTAACAGAACGTTAATGCTTTAAGATATAATTTTTGTAAAACGAAAGCGTAAGTACTACACACATACATAAGTACATCTCACATATTCAAATATCACTTGAGAACGCCAAATAATTTCCGAACTTTGACTCGTAAAATGAGTAACTGTTTACTTCCTAAACCATAATCTACTCTCGTTTTTTGAAAATTATATTTCTACTTCGTTTAATTTACTAACTAACCTATACAGATCAATGTATCGTGTGCTTTTAGCGCAATATTTTTAACGTTCATAACTGCCATGATGTTGGTAACGGTTCTTTTCTACCTTGTAGTATAACTCCACTACCAACCTGGCCGATAAGCATTCCTAGTTGCACGTTTCGACAATCATTTACGAGGAATGAATACAGGCTATCACGATCACTTGACATCTACACTAGAAACTGGTTGAAGTTGACTTCTAAAATAACTGTGTTTCTCTTCCCATTCTGAAAATGAAGATTTGTAAATTAGTTCAAAAAGGAACTGATCACTGTTTCAATGTGGTACTGTCTAAAGCAGTTTTCGTATGAGCGGCGAATGTTACGAAATGTAACGAAACGGATGAATTTCCGAAAAACGAAAACAAGTATTTCATTTCAATGTTACGGCATGTCGTACCGTGTACGTGATGTAAGTCAGTACCGTGTGTTTCCCACTCATACGATAACCATTCTCATGGGAAGCCATTTTAAT